TAACAATTAATTTGTAAATAGTCCAGCTTACATTAAAAAATAAAAACGACATAATATAAATTAACAATAACAATTTAAATAATCGTATAAATTAATATATATTTCAGTTTTTTTCTGGACTAACATTATTTAATATATAAAATACCAAGATTAGTTTTAACGTCGACACTTAAAATGTAACTAATAAATTAAAAAAGAAACATGTGCACCGAATTCTTCCAGTCTCTATTTAATTACTAGGCTTATATTAAATTCTTGATGCTGTACTTCTTTAACGTAACTTGTTTTATTTCTAAGTCTTCTTATGATTCTATTACTGTTTCTGTCCTTATTGGGTGTCTATTAATTCACACATACAACAATTTAGTTAATAAAACACACATTTCGTTTATTTTCAGTTGGATTTTTTTCTTGTTTATAGGAAATGGGACTTTCACGTAATATTTCTTTTTATGTTCACTTCTTTTTTGCAAGCATTTCTTTAAAAACGTACCGAGTGTTTTAAGAGAAGTGGAATCCGTATCAGTTAACTGATTCTGTCGACTGTAATTGATGTACAGTCTTCAACAATACCCGCATCCTACATGACCAAATTAATAACTTAGGGTGATATTACAGAACGTCTGCAACTTTGCAGATCTGCAAATATGGCGGCAACTTTGAAAATCTGCAAATATGACTGACTTACACATGCAAGTATCAAGTTTTCGTATTCCAAATTTGGGTTTAGTGTTGTTGGGGGTAATAAACCACAATAAATATTGCGAATTTGCAGATATTTTTTGGAATACTTGCATTTGTAGGTCCGCCATATTTGCAAAGTTGCAGACGTTCTGTAATCTCACCCTTAAGCAGTAACTCCAAAAAAAATGACAGTGACGTATTTGACAGAACTGTTACTTAAGTTGTCATAAAACTCACTAAAAAGGGAAATTTTCATTCAGTAATGATTTAACAGATCATCTGGGATATTTTGAAGACTGCAATATAAAAAATTAGCCACACTCACCCCCAAAATTAATTGTATTTAATTAAAAATAATAAAAATATCATTATTTAGATTGTTTATAATTATATTTTAATTTTTTACATATGCAATAATATTTATATCGATTTAATTTTATTAATTTACTACCGCTTTAGGGTAAAATAAATATGTAATTATAAATCAATACTTTTTATCTAGAGAGTGCAACATTTTTATCATAATTTTATCATATCTCGAAAAATATATTATCTAACTTACCTTCATCATTCAAATTTACACGATCTAATTCAACGAATTTGCTAGATCTGAAAATAATAGATTATAAGTCAATTTGAAAATTTTAAATTATATTTTTACTAACCTATCATCCATTGTTCACTTTACACATACAATGCGCAGCTCACAAATTGGTAGCTCACCAGAATGATGCTTCGTAGCTATTACCATAGATATAATTGGGAACAATCTACCTCCCACTACCAACTTCACGTTACACGAAATATGGCAACAGGTGAAGTCATATACGATAGGCAAATGTTAAAACGGAATTAAAATCATCCTGTATAATTCAAAATGGTGGATTCAATATGCCTGCTCGTGAATGATTTTTTTTCCAATCTCCATGAAATTTAGTATCTTGAATTTTTTTTTGAGGTTATAGATCTTTTAGTTAGTAATGATACAGAATTTGACATTAATTTAGAAGATGATATTTTAAAGGTTACTAGCGAAACTGAAGACGAATTTTTTTCTCCAATTTCCATGAAATTTGGTATCGTGGGTTTTTTTAAGTCACCGAAGTTATATATCTATTAGTTATTATGATACAGACTTCGACGTTGATTTAAAAGATGACGATATTTTAAATATTACTAAAGATGAAGCTGAGTGCAATTTCGAGCTTAAAAATATAGTATTTCATTTAGACGATCTTGATATAGAAATGGAAGACAAAAATATTGAATAATTAATTAAGAAGTTTAGTAATTTTAAATTTTTTAATATTGTCACCATATTAGATCGCAATTTTTAATGTTATTCAAAATCAAATTCAAAAAACCGCTTAGAAGCCCCTCATGTTTTATTTTTATGCAAAACGAGCATTTTCTGGCGCCATATTGGATCTGCCATTTTGTATTTCTATTTTTTAATGTCACGTTCAAAATTAGCGACCCTAAAATCCCTTAGAAACTATTCAGGTATTCATTTTTGTGTTTTAATATTTTTTGGCGCCATATTGGATCCTTCATTTTGTATTTCTAATTTTTAATGTCATATTCAAAATCAGCGACCCCACAGGCACCTTAGAAACCCTTCCAACCCTTGAGGTTTAATTTTTATGCAAAATAAGCAGATTTTAATATTTTAGGAGGCCATATTGGATCCGCCATTTTGTATTTTTAATTTTTAATGACATTCAAAAGCAGCCACCTTAAAAATCCTTCAGAAACTCTTCTCATTTGTGTGCACAACAATCAGTTTTTAATATTGTCGGGCGCCATATTGGGTGCGTCATTTTGTATTTTAATTTTTTTAATGTCATTCAAAATCAGTTACCCGAAAAATCCCTTAGAAACCCTTCAGATTTCATTTTTATGCAACACAAGCAGTTTTTAATATTTTCGGAGGCCGTATTGGATCCGCCATTTTGTATTTCTAATTTTTAATGTCATATTCAAAATTAGCGATCTCAAACACCACTTAGAAACTATTCACGTTTCATTTTTGTTTTCAATATTTTCTGGCTCCATATTGTATACGCCATTTTGTATGTCTAATTTTTAATGTCATATTCAAAATCAGTTACCCCAAAAAACCCTTAAAAAGCATCCAGGTTTCATTTTCCTTCAAAACAAGCAATTTTTAATATTTTACGGTTTCATATTGGATCCGCAATTTTGCATTTCTAATTTTTAATGACATATTTAAAATCAGCTACCCGAAAATCCCTTTAAGAAATTTCTCATTTGTGTGCCTAACAATCAGTTTTTAATATTTTCGGGCGCCATATTGGATCTTCCATTTTGTATTTCAATTTTTTTTGTCACATTCAAAATCAGTTACCCGAAAAATCCCTTAGAAACCCTCCATATTTCATTTTTATGCAACACAAGCAATTTGTAATATTTTAGGACACCATATTGGATCCGCCATTTTGTATTTCCCATTTTTAATGTCATATTCAAAATTAGCGATCTCAAAAACCACTTAGAAGCTATTCACGTTTCATTTTTGTGTTTCAATATTTTCTGGCTCCATATTGTATACGCCATTTTGTATGTCTAATTTTTAATGTCATATTGAAAATCAGTTACCCCAAAAAACCCTTAGAAAGCATCCAGGTTTCATTTTCCTGCAAAACAAGCAATTTTTTAATATTTTATGGTTCCATATTGGATCCATTTTGCATTTCTAATTTTTAATGAGGAAATTTCCCATTTTTATGCAAAACAAGCAGTTTTTAATATTTTAGGACGCCGTAGTGGATCATCCATCATTTTGTATTTCCAATTTTTAATGTCATATTTAAAATTAGCGACCCCAATAACTACAAAAACTATTCAGGTTTCATTTTTATGTAAAAAAAGCAATTTTTAATATTTTCGCGCCCCATATTGGATCCACCATTTTGTATTTCTAATTTTTAATGTCATATTGAAAATTGGTGTTCTCAAAAACCTCTTAGAAACCCTTCAGAAAGAATTTTTAATATTTTCGGGGGCCATATTGGTATTTCTAATGTTTAACGTCATATTCAAAATCAGCGACCCCAAAAACCCCAATACACAATAAAATAATTAGTTTTATTTTTAATCAAATAGAGATTGCTGAAATTAAAGAAAGTGACAACCGTTGTAAGATTTTGACAAGTGTTGCTGTTCAATAATATCTGATGTTCTTTCTGCTGAAGTCAAGGTAAAATCGCACGCATAGGCGATATAGCTTTCAGAATCCTATATGTTTTTAACATATAAAATAAAACTATGTTATCCAAAATGGATCCCCGTTGACACTGATATCTGTGGAGCAACCCACCCTCCCCTTATAGATGCAGATCCCTGTGAAACACACATAAATACTTTCAATTAAGTAGATATGTGGCAATCCTTCTTTCTGCAATGCCCTTAATTTCATAATAACTTGTCATTATCAACACAGTCAAATGCCTTGCTAAGGTCATAAAAACTCGTAGAGGGCATTCACTACCCTCAATTATTTATTCGTAAAAAGAAAATAAAGCAGTTCATGTTTATTTTTGTGGGATAGAATCTTATGTTTTTCTAAAAAAATTGATAAAAAAAGGTATGCAAATTATTGATGGAAAGTGAGATGTTCCCCATTCAAGACTTTTAGGAAAAGTGCCTATGCTGTAAGATAAGGTTTGCTAAATGTGTTAAAGGTTCGATTAAATAGTTATTATTTTAATTAAAAATAGTGGTACTTCATCGAGAGCTGAGGATCATTTTTTAATTTAGTTAGAAGAAGAGTTTCTAACTGTGAAGGTATAAAAACGTTTACAAATAGAGATAAGCAATTACGGTTTTTTATTTTATTATAATCATGATTTTTGTGTTGTCAAAAGTTTAGGCTCGTTTGTAAAGTAATTGGTTAAAAATATTTGAAACTTCATCGAGTTAGTTCATAGATAATGATTTTATTAATGTAATGTATAATAATATAATTAATATAAATTGATAAAATTCTCAAATTAAGGATATCCACTCCTGTTTGTCGCTCGGTAGGTACGTAATTTGGTTGGTGCAGGCTTTTTTAGGAAAAAATTTCGTTGTATCATTTAGGATAAGATTTGACAGGTTAGGAATTTTGATTAATCAACGATTCGGTAATAGTGATAAATTTGAGCCTCTTTTACTTAGATTTTGTTTAAATTAGGATATGTAAATAAAAATTAATAATTTTAATTTATTTGAAACAATAAGTCAGATTTACTGGTTAACTTTTACTTAAAATAAATATATACTTCACTTATTTTTTTTTGTGTTTCTCCCAGCTCATGCAACCGATTACTACGGTAAGTCAAAATTTTTACTTTAATTAAGCTTCTCGCCATTTTCCTTTTTTTCCTTTTCATCCAACATGGACAAAAAAAGTTAATGTGATACAAAATAATTTCCAGTTTCGTCAATGGTTTTTATTTGTAGATGTTTTTCGTGTTTATTCCCCCTTTAAATTTGAATAAATTTTGAGTTTCTTACAAAAAATGTGGATTTTTTTTAATTTATACAAAATAAAAATGTTATTAAAACATGGTATTTTTTATAAGATAGTAACAGTTTGCAGTTATAGTTATTTTTATATTTTATAATAGCTATTTATGAAACCAGTTACGAAATGCCTTATTGTATGTAACGAGTGAATCTTTGCGGGACGAGCAGAGCGAGGTCCCGCAACAGTTAGGAGTTACATAAAACAGCATTTTTTCGTAACGGTTACATACAATATGTTTTCTAATTTTGACTAATTATTTATAAAATTGTGTTTTGGTAAAAAATTACTGACATCTAGGCAACCAATATTACTACTTTTTTGTATTGTTAGTTGCATATGATTAACTTAATTGTTTTATTGACAAATAAAAATCATATTTATTTATTTTTAACAACTTATTGTAGTGTTTATATTGTTTTAAAGTTATTTAATTTCAAGAAAGTGGATTATTTTGTCGTGTATTGTGTTTTAATTATTTTGTGCTGATTTAGAATGAAAAATAAGGACCAAAACGACATTACTGGGTTGTAAGTTTAACCAAATTCTATTTTTATAAACCAACCTTCCTTTCTTTGTTATAACTTTCAATAATAATGTATTTTATTGATTTTAAAACAAAAAAAAAGGTTTATTTTTCTTTTCTTTTCGCAACTGACGACATAATGAATTTTTCGAAACCAGTTTCATGTTCAACATTATGCAACTGGTTGCGTAAAGTAGATCATTTTGACACTTGCTGTTTCAAAAAAAATTATGATTAAATTAGAAAAAAATATTTCTTATTCTTTGGTTTATAAAAAGTAATTTTTTATTTGTATAAAAGTTTTTGTTTTAATGTAAAACTTATTTCACACAAAAAATATCAAAAAAAGGTGTTTCTACTTTGATATGTGGCAACGGTGTAAGGATTTAATACGCCCGTTAAGAGAAAAGGAAATGGATTTATGAATAGTTCGGACCATTTTCGTGAACGTTGTACTTGAATCAGTTACCAGTTGTGAGTATTTTGTGGTTATGATCTGCACAACAGTATTTTTGTTGTTTTTATAACACGTTTACTGCCTGAAAATGTAATGTCTCCACATTAAAGTTTTTGCAACGTATCAATGTAATTTAAACAATTTGGTACAAAGTAGATTTTATTCATAAAAATATATACAGAGTTGTCCAACGAAAAGTAAAGTAATGCAGAGCAGTTTTGCTTTGGAGAGAGACACATTTTAAGCATATTTTTCAACCTGCATCTTTAAATCCGTGTTTGGGAACAATCACACCACTAAAATTCCAAATGGAGTAGTCAAGTGATGCATCATTTTAAATGGCACAAAATTGTCTTCCTATAAGATTTTACTTAAAACAGTTAATGCGAAAACAACTAGTTTTGGTATTTAAAAAAGACACGTAAATATTAATTATTAGGAGTCACAACTACAGTGATTTCTAAATAATTTTTTTTAATAAAAACTTGTAATTGAAATGGCAATAAAACCGAGGTTTTATCAAAATAAAATTCCTTTCAAAGTGTAGTTTATAATATATTAAATAAATTGTGAATTTATTTATCGTAAAATCGCAAATCGAAATCCGAAAATTCGGAGAAATATCTTAAATAAGTGGCTGAATAATTTAAAAATTCGGAAACAAATCTCAAAAATCCCCCTACGAATTATTAAGACTATCCCCGAACCCCAAAGGTGAAAACAAATACTTAAAGATTTGAAAAAAAGCCTGTCGCATCCGGGCATTGAACCCGGACATTGTTGTATGCTTGACAAATGCCCTTCCTTCTAGACCGTCACGGCATTGACTGTCGCGATTCCTAGACAAACATTTTGATGTGCTAGTTCGGGCCGGACGGCGGTAAAGCTTGTTCTCAAATCTTCAAATGCCTCTATACATCATCGATATTTATATATTTTTTCAAATCTCCAAGTATTTGTTTTCAACTTTGGGGTTCGGGGATGATCTTAATATTTCGTAGGGGGATTTTCAAGATTTGTTTACGAATTTTCAAATTATTCAGCCACTTATTTCACTTTTCGGATTTTGTTTTGCCATTTTACGATAAATAAATTCACAATTTTCACACTCAGGTTTACATCTCTTAACGTACATTGAAATACATAACATAAATGCATTTCTCATGAGGCGAATTTTTTAAGGAAGCACCGTTTTGATGTTCCGCCGTTACAGCACTGCGGTCAGACTTCCGCGCATGCGCGCTGTGTACCTGCATCAACTGGCTAAGCTGAAACGACATTACGGCAACAATCGCCATTGATTACGTGTGTTAGCAAGTATTTAAAATGGCACCGCCGATAGAAAGTCCCGCTGACTGTGAAGTTCGTTCTGTTATTCGTTTTCCTGAGTGCAAAAGGCTTAAAAGCAAGAAACTTGAAGAAAGTTATCAGATAAGACGTAATCGTAAAGTGTCTTACTGTTTGGTCAACTTTCTGCACCAAATCGTAATGACTGAAGGTCGCCCACTCCATTTGTGCGGACATCTTTAAATGATCCAATCCCCTTCCTAACCATAAAGTTTTGTCCGTAAATTATACAGATCTCATGATGAATATCGATCGCTTTTAAGCCTTTTGCACTCAGAAAACGAATAACAGAACGAACTTCACAGTCGGCGGGACTCTCTATTGACGGTACCATTTTAAATACTGCTAACACACGTAATCAAGGGCGATTATTGCCGTAATGGCGTCTCAGCCTTGCCAACAAATGCAGTTACAATGCGCGGAATGCCGACAGTGGCGCTGCAAGGACGGAATATCAAAAAATATGCTTCGTATATCGATGCTGTATAAAGGCATTTGAAGATTTGAGAACGAACTTGACCGCCGTCTGGCCCGAACTGGCTCATCACATTTCTGTCCAGGAATCTCGACAGTCAGTGTCATGATGGTCTAGAAGGAAGGGCACTTGTCATGCATACACAGATGTCCGGGTTCGATTCCCGGCTGCGACAGGCTTTTGTTCAAATTTCCAAGTATTATCAACTTTGGGGTTCGATGGTCCTAATAATTCGTAAGGTGATTTTGGGATTTGTTTCAGAATTTTCAAATTATAAAATTTTTATACCTAATTAGGTAATAGGTATACGGTATATTTTTTTAGAATGCACGTAGTAAAAATTCAATCTGACAAGAATATGATGGACCCAGTTCCCGCAGTCAAAAAATTCAAATTAAAAAAAAAATGATGGATTATAATTTTAAAGTTTTTAATGATAATGTTAAATTACGGTTAGATATTATTAATATTTAATATTTTCGATTTATAAGAAATTTTGATTCCAAACTTTTAACACCCTGTATCTCGGTAACTATGCCCTTTAAGGGTTCGTGTTTCTATATCAAAATTCATCATTTAACGAAAACTTTCTGGGGTAAAGCGTTGTCGGTCAAATATACGAACACCTTGTATCTCAGTTTGCTTGTAATTTGTATTTATTACTGTAAAACATGATTTACTAACACCTTGTTAACTGACGAAAATTATCGCAATTTTTAGTCAATTTCGCAACATTGCCACGTATCAAACTAGAAACGTTTAAAATTAAAATAATTATTTTCTGGTAATTGGGCATTAATTAAAAACAGAATATGAAAGAAACATATATTTTTATATAGATATTTATCAATTTAGAAAATAGAAAAAGTGAGGAGAAATCCTATAAAAAAATCCATTTTTTTTAAATGGGTAAAATTTTTAGTGAATTATTAACTTTTTGAAAATTTTGTCCCCAAGTAATGAGATCTCAAAATTTTTCCCATCCGAATTCTTCTATTACTTAATATTCGAACCCTTTGTATCTCGTCTATTTTTCTGGGGATAAAGGAGCACATGTGTACTAATCGCTTTTTGTGTAGCGGAATATTCGCTTTTGTTTTTCATCGTTTTGGCAAAAATCAGGAAGTTACTCGGTTTTTTTACTATTTTATTTTCCTCTTTATTTTTAATCGTGAGTTTTCTATTTTTTGTACATAAACAACAAAACTAACTAATTAACAAACGCTTAACTAACTGCATGCTATAGTTTAACATTAAAAATATTTTATAGGATGGTGTATACATTATAATTATTTTAAAAACTATAATATTCCAAAAAATAGAAATTTGAATCAATTTTCTTGAATCTAATGTTATTCAAAAGGAACATGCCATCCAATATAATATTTAAAATATTGGTAAATATATTTCTTCAAGCAAAAACGTGTCGAAATTCCATCTTCAATTCTACAGTTTTTTTCTAAAAAAAAAAAAAAAAAAATTCGAGCCATCAAAAATTGTAGAATTCCCTTGTGTTATCTAAATATTCCGAGAAGCTAATTGTTGATTGTTCTTTTTTATCAAGACGAGTACAATCTTAACCCTGGTTTAGAATGGGAGGATGAGTTTACAGGTAGGTTGCGCTTCAAGCTATTTATTTTCATAATTTTATTAAAAAAAAAACAACCTTATCTATTTGTTGCATTTTATTAAACAGTTTTTTCAATACCAGGAACAGAGCGATCAAAATATATATATATATATATATATTTTTTAATTATAGTCATATTGATCATTTAGGAGTTGTGTAAAGCTGCCCCCATCCCTCCCAAAATTTTAGAATTTTTGTTTGGAAGGCGGGTTGGATTTGACCACCTATTGACTATGTTTAATCACTCAGAACTTTTTTAACCACCCTCAGAAAAATTATTTAAAAACTTAAATTCTGCGGCCGCTGACACCTCCTAAAGTTTATATTTTTCAAAACTGTATGCACCGTGGGGTTGACCAAATAGTTTTTGT